TGTCTTGTGTGTGGAAAACTTTTTTTTTCTCCCCCCCCCCCCCCCCCCCCACTTCCATTCGCAATTATCAACTGTTTGCACTGCTGGCTACATTGATTTTTTTTTTCTTTTCTACATGTCATGACTCAACATTTAGTAGTCTGTTTAAATTGAATTAAGGGTGTGTTATGTGAAAATGACTGGTTCTTTCAGAATTATGCCTGAAATTTAGGATGCAGAGAATTATGTGCATGCAGGAGCGTGTCACATTGAGAGGTTGGAGAAAGGGTCATTGTTTTGAAGGGTGGAAGCAAATCAATGGAATTGTGCAGTGTTGAAGAGTACATGGCTGTTTAAATAAAGTATAGGGATATTATGTCTAAATGAAAATTATTATACTACTATTATTTTATTTAATTCAAGGAAATCCTTTTGGCAAATACTAGGCTATATAAAGTAAAAAGATAAATATATGGTTAATTTTATTTTATGCTTTTAGTATTGTTGTTCATGACTTTGTCAGAATAGGTCTGCAAGCAGATGAAAAACACTTGTCTAAAATGACTTGTATATAGCACTTCATAAAGAGTGATCACACATTTTAAAAGCATATGCAGATGTTTTCTCTGCATTAGTAACTGTATTGACACTTCCAATAATCTGTCTCATTTTGAAACACATGCTATTACTCAGGCATGTTTTTTTTAGGGTTTTTTGAAACCTTATTGAGAAACAGTTGATACTCGATATCAGTTTGATTTGCCTTAGCTCCTTTCTTTCTTCCTAGATCTGCACATGAAACTTGATTGCAGATATGGACCAAATTTTCCACTACATTTATTTTCTCATGAATGTTTGCATATTTCAGTGATTGCCTTCTAGTGGATTCAAATATGCAGAAATGGTAATCTTCCTCTCCTGGAATGAAGCATGTACTCATTTCACAGCCTCTAATTGTGTTTCTGTAAAATGGTCAATTTTTCCACTTGCACAAAGACTAAAGTAGTTGCTAAAGTAGAATCCTCGCTCTGATCTTTCATATTGATATATAAGTTCACTCACACACAAAAAAAGATTTACTTAAGTCTGTTGAAATCTGAATTTGATCACTTACCCATCCAAAGGTTGTTGCCAAGTTGTCAGGGTGTTGTGGGTGGTAGCCACATTGTTGTTGTTGCTAATGTGTTCAGAGTGTTTTTTTCTCCATGTTGCTATGTGGTTTATAGGGTCTTTTGGTAGTTTAGTAGGTTGTTGCTAATTGGCCCAAGTCAAAAAATCCACCACCAAGTCAAGTCTCTATGATACAGCTTATTCAATGCAAGTTTTGGATTGTAGTTAGGTCAGTCCTCTATGCACACCTTGGCAATAGAATTGCCATTGGTTTGTGTGTGTGAGTGTGTGAGTGAATAAGCGGGTAATTTACTCGCAATGTAAGGTTGTAAGTCTGATCCTTTAGAAATGTCCAAATGATGCATATCAGTGATGGTTAAGATGAGGTCCAAAAAACTGCTTTGAAACAGCTGCTTGGATAAGTTAGAAACTTGGCTCTTCTCTTTATGCCTCACATTTGCAGTTTGACCAGCACAACAGGGGCAGTGTTCCTGTGTTTGCTGTAGAGCTGTGCAATATATCGAAATTATCGAAATATCGCAAACGTACATATCGCAATATGCGTATCGCTACAGCTTGCAATATTTGGGGCCATGAACAAAAGACAATGAGAAAATCACTCACTGCTCTTACCTAAATAACTTTTGTAGCTTAAATAAGAATCAGTGCATATTGAATTCAAAGAGTAAATACTAAGCGGTGTTTTATTTTTCCTTTTTATTATTCAGTTCCTAAACTCATGTTAAAATGATTACACTAATGTTAAAATTACATTTTTATGAGTAAAACGCATACCATTCACTTTCAGAAGTTATTGTAGGGGTGCTTTCTTATTAGAATCAGAATCAGAATGAGCTTTACTCACCACTTAAGTGTGTGCAAACACAAGGAATTTGTTGTGGTTATCAGGAACTCTTGGTACATACATACATACAAATAACCATATATATATATATGATACAAGATAGTTATAGAAGTTCACAGAACTGACTCGGCAACAGCTGAGTAAAACTGTTTCATCTGAGCATGTGGCACTTTAAGCATTATCGTATCGCATATCGAATATCACATTATTTAACGAGTTATCGCATATCGCATTTTTCTTCAATATCGCACAACCCTAGTTTGCTCCATCGCAGACATTGCTGCACATCGTCATCCGCTGATCCTGTTCTCATCAGCTTAGAACATATGTGTATCATGCTCAGAGAGATGTGATGGTCAGCCATCCATTCCAGTTAGCAGCTATCTGAGCCGGGTACGATGAGAGGGCCCCATCATTATCACTTGCACATTTATGCCGCACATTACCGTCTGACCTTCCCGTCGCTGTCACTCAGAAAGCGGCCCCGGTACCCCTGTCTCAGGGTGGCCGTTCATGCCAAGAAACCAAAGATTCTCCACCCCTATCACTTATACAGGGATAATAGGCACTTAATTGACTTACCTGGCAACATGCGATCAGTTGTGAGGTCAGTAAATTAGATTTGCTGCTGACACATACCACTCTACATGTTTATGGCGCTTTTGCAATTTCGTAAAGCATCTCTGTCCATTTTTACCCTCTGTTTTACGCTGTCCTTAACTCCCAGCGAACTGTGAAGGAGCTCACCCAGCCATTCAAGGAACGTATTGTATTAAAGTGTGGTAACTGCTATATGTAATGAATTTTGGATTAGGAGCGACAAAGTGGCTCTATGATAACCTTTCGGAAAGGACGCAGTTTGTGAGCAGTGGGAAGCGGGTTATAGCAGGAGTCTCTACTCCCAGACAACCCAGGGTGGTTGCGTTTGATGTCACTCTAGCTGAAAACTCCCCAGCGCAACACAAACAAAACATGCCATACCAGACCTGTGCGGGATACATCAGTAGAGCGGGAAATGTCAGATCGTCAGGGGTGTACGTGTGAAGTGAATTACTTTGGTTTGGAGAGCAGTCCTGGGAGGATACTCTAATTTCAAGCTGAAGGTGTAATGTGTCTTTTTTTTTATTTTTTTGCAGGTGCGGTGGACCCTAGTGTAGACGGGATCTCACGGAGGGACCTTCTCCACGGACTATATGAAGGGAGGGGAGGGGGAGGGGGAGGGGGCTGCTTACTTTACTCCCAGCTTGCAGAACACACAGGTCAGCATGCCTTTAAATTTGATGTTGTTTTCTTTCAATTTCATGGTTCAATTTTTAATTTTTTTTGTTCATTTACAGTGCCTGTAAATTTAGATATTTTTTCCTTACTGTACAGTTAATTTATTACCTTTTTGCATTTAGATTAGTACTGTTTTTGATTCTAAGGCAGTGTTTCCTGTGCATTTTTTGTCCTAAGTGCTCAGCATTTTTTGTGTCCACACGGACGGTGTGCATACAACAGTGAGCACGCAAGGTGAAATGTTCAGACAGTCCACTTTCATGTTCAGAGTTCACTAGGTGGTACTGCGCATGTGTCGAACTCATCCATCCATGTGGAAACTGCTGTGCGCAAGACTGAGCGGAATGCAGAAAATGAAGTATATCTGAACCTTTAGGCTCAGGCTTAAGTAGAAAAATCATTAGATTACTTGCGATTAATTATTAAAATAAATTTAGGCCATCGAAATGTATGAGAAAAATATATCAAAGAAAAAAATATATGGTTTCATATTTTTTTAATATTTTATAAGAATTTATATAATGTATAAAATATATAAATGTAAAAATAAATTATAAAATATATATTTACATATGCTTATTATTATTATTAGTTGTTTTCATAATTTTTATTACTTTTTAATTGTATTTAAACATTAAACATAGTAGTATTTTTGTTACATTTATAAACATATATGCAATAAATGCAAATATTTAAAATGGAGAAAAAACTAATATATGAAATATATGCTTTCATATTTTTGTACAATTTATAATTCTTTCTATCATGTTAAAATATATAAAAACATTTTATTTGTTTGTTTGTTTGTTTGTTTGCTTGCTTTCTTTTTGGGCAGTGAATAACCAAAATGAAATAACCAACAGGGAAAAAGAGGAAAAACAGGACTAGGATGTAACTCAGGCCGGTCTTGAACATTTATCAAGCACAACAGCCCTTTATATGTCACTTGCAACGCACTACTCTCTTTGCCACAGCTTAGATGTTTTTAGCAACTTATGTATGTCATTCTACATATTAGCATCAGCTATTAGAAAGAAATCCTGGTTGACCCCTAGTACTAAAGATGTTCATACGGTCACTATGAGTGTATGTAAATATGATTACCATTGTCTTAAAACTCATGAAAAATCACGAAACAGTAACAACAATTCAAGCGGCTTAGAACAAAGTACATAACATCTGGATAACGTTTGACCTGCACATTGTCCTCTGTACCGGCAGCGGGTCATTCCCATCCTCTGCCATAAGCTACGAGATGTTTACATATCCTGGACGACTATGCCTTTTCATGGGAGCGCGGCGAGCATAGAGGAACATGCTGGGTTGATTTGGCCAAATTGGAAGCCTGTTAGTAATATACGGCAGAGCAGAGCTGAGCTGGATGGACGTCTGGTAGTGTTTATGCACAGGGTAGCTGCATCTGCACACAGCCCAGTCCTGCGGATGCCTCATACCCTCAGGCCTCCAGCACCTGCATAATGGAACAACAGAGAAGAAAGAAAGGGGAAAAGAGATCAAATGACAAGGGCTTGGGTTTCTCACATCAAATGTTTCTTTTTTTTTTTACTTACACCAGGAAAATATTTCCAAGATCTCAGAGAGTTGCGTGTCGATATGATAGAGTGGCCTTGTCGCTGTTTCGTAAACATTTGGCTGTTCTCCTCAACGCTGGTCTTTGAAATTCGTGGAGGAAAACAAATTTCTGTGAAATGATTGCCGGGTGCTTTACACAATGATTTAATATAGTGCTATTTTTTTCCCCCTCAGCTTTTTAGTCAGGGATTAAGAATTTGGGCAGGCGGGGGCAAGGAGGGAACGAGGGAAATAAATAAATATATAAAGGTGGTGGTTAATCTCGCTTAGTGCAGTGTGAACGCTGAGCAGTGCTGTGGCCTTACAAACATCTGCCTCACACACAGCCGAGCGGGATCAGCTAAAGCGATTAGCGCACTCGCGTCAGCCTGTGGAGACGGGTGCCCGTTACAAAAGCCAGAACACCAGCCTTTCCTCCCACACTCCACCTGGAACACTGACACTGCAGCGAGAGGCACGCTCCGAAAGCAGCGCAAGAACCGCCTCACAAACGCTACTCTTTTCCAATACGCATATGCTCTTGTCTTTTTTCCCTCTCTCAGAACAAAGCAACATGTAGCTCTGAGGATTGAACAGTCTGTCATGGTACTAAAGCAGATGCTTATCACAGCCAGAGTTGTATCCGAAACTTCTTAATTAGCATGTATGTAATGAAATATGCCATTCATTAAGGTGTAATTGTAATTTTACACTTGCTTTGTACCGCGACGGGGGCCTTGATGTGATAGCAGGCGACCTTTCCATTGTTGTGTATTAAGAGAGACCGTATTCTGCTCATGCTTTTACGTTAACCTCATTAAAGCAAAGGAGGGGCGATACTTCCTGAAAGGGATCTCGACAGCTTTCTTTTTTTCACTTTTTCTCCTTTTCGTTTCCACTCCTTTTAATTTAATTTCACTTTTGTGTTCTTCACTGCAAAATTTTTTATTAATCTGCATTTTCATCATGTTTCCAAGAACAATATATTTAAGATATTAAAACTTATTTTTCATAATTTATTGTACTTTATAAAATTTTAAGAAAAATTTCTGAAAACAAAGTGACATGACGTGTAGCCAAGTATGGTGTCTTAAACAAGACTCAATATTTTATATTCATATGTTATATTAATATTTTACTCCTAGTAAAATATATGGCTCATTTTAAAATATATTAAAATAGAAAGCAGTTATTTTAAATAGTAAAAATATTTCAAAATGTTACTGCTTTTGGTGCATTTTGGATCAAATAAATGCAGGCTTGGTGAGCAGAAGAGAATTCTTTAAAAAACATTAAAAATCTTGCAGTTCAAAATCCTTTGACTGTTAGTGTAGGCTGATTCTTCTTATAGATTGAAACGTGCATTAACCAGGATAACGAGTATGAAACATGCTCCGAGTTGCTTCAGAAAACAAAAAAATAGAGCAACAACAAAAGCATGTTGCTGGAAATGGGTTTATTATTGAAAATGCAAACTGCTTGTCTGCCAGCAGGAGGCGCTGTGAGAGCGGTGGAACTAACGGTTTCTCCAGTAACGGCTGTAAACAAAGCAGCTCCGAACGCTACTTTATCAGATAAAAATGCCATCTAAACTATTCTGAAGACAGTCGGTTCCCTTCAGAGATACATTCATATAAAACCCGCGACGTGTTTTGATTTTGAAAGTGCAGTGCTCATGTTTATTCAACGACGTCAAACGCCACAAATAAATCAATGTTTGGGAAACTGGTAATGTATATCGAAATATCGGAAATGTGTTTAAAAATCATATCACCGTTATTGAAAAAAATTATATTGCGATACATATTGATATTGAATTATTGTTTTGAAAAATTGCTAAAATGAATAGATCATGAGAAAACAGAAAGAGAAAACAAATGCCTCTGTAATCGAGCAAAATGATCTGGCTAAAGGTCCTGTTTTCACGTGGTGTGACGCTCTGCGTATTATCCCGCTCTATGCATGTGCGCTCCGCTCAGCTCTGCTCAGCTCCACTCATATACCATTCATGCTCTTCGGAACAGCAAAGTCCACTCAAAAATTGAGCCGACAGGAAACATCGATGTAGTACAATATTGTTTCTGTCTGCAATAGCCCTACTGTTTTGTAACAAGGTGTGGTAAATGGGCAACTCTGGTAACGCTGCCCTCTCATTCATTGATCTGCTAACCGCATGTTATGCTCACGTGTTCTGATAATAATAGCTTTCTAGGACTAAACATTATTTGGATAATTGGTAAAAAAAAAGTTAAATATCTTAACCCTACTGTTAGACCTACCTGAAAAAACTAAAAAGCTATTTATTTAATTCGAAGGCCTGTCGTTATTTTTTATTTGTGCTATCATTATTAATTTCTTTATTTGTTCTTATTACTGATTGCTTACTTGTCATTTTTATTCAATTGAAAGTTTGAAATCAAGCTATCTCGTGCTACTGCACCAAAATTACCCCACTGTAAATTAAAAAAAACACTGAGTGAGCAAGAATTTGTGAGATAGCTAGTTATAATGGTAATTATATAATGTTTACATATGTATACAAGCCTACATTAAAATCTAAATTGGTCTCTTCATTAGAAATTAGCCTACTGATTGCCACCATTGATGGACACATTTTTTAAATAATATTAAAAATATCTGTATGACATTTATATTCTGCAGTTCTTCCCTGTTGTACCGAATATCTATACTTTTCAAATTATCATATCAAAGTTAGAAATTAAAATATTGTGACAAAATAAATTTTGTAGGGTGCCACAAGTTTGTTAAAATTTCGGGTGCCGCGACTAAAAAAAGGTTGGGAAACACTGGTCTAAACCACTCAGAAGCAGTTCAGAGTTGTGGCATAAGGGACACAATTAGGGATGCACGATATATCGGCCACCATATCGGTATCGGCCGATAAATGCTCATTTTTTCTGTTATCGGTATCGGCCTGATAAGAAAATTCGGCCGATATCTTAAAGCCGATAAATAATGCATTATTTCCTTCAGAGACACTTCAGATGCGCGCTGTTCGTCAATGTCTCCATTCCCTCCATTAGGGAACGAGGGTTACCATACGTAACAGAGACGCTCCCTTTCAGTCGGTCACTTCAACATTGTGTCAAAGTTCTGACACTAGCGGTCCCTTTACTAAATGCCACAGCTGCTGAACTGCGTTACGAGTCCATGGGGGTGCAGATGTTGACAAGCTCAGCGTGCCATGACCAAATGCACCTCACCTCCTCATAACCTTCCAATGTCCAAGACTTATGACCTCACTCTCCAACACCCTGGAGAGCCGCCATATAAGGCAGAGGTCACCTCCAGCTGGAGCCTTTTCTCATTCTGAGAAAAACAAGAATAGATAGCGGTTGGAATGCCCTGGTTGAACGTTGGGAAAGCGTTCATTTTCCCAAGTGGGAAA